TGTTTAGATCGACTCTGCTGATATGACAATCTGTATACTTAAAGGTTTGTCTAGGACTAATATTACGCGGCGTTACAAACTCTTGGGGCTGCACAAAGCTATAATACCCTTAAAACATGGTTGATTAGGGTATAAAAACAGGCTGATGCTTTAAACATATTTAAAAAAAATACTGAGACTCTCAAAACCATTTTTAAAAATCCCGAGAACCTCAAAATAATTTTCTAAAAAAACCTGAAATTTTGCAAAAAATTTAAAAAAAAAAACCTGATGTCCTCTAAACAATTAACGAAAATTACTGAGATCTTTAAAATCATTTTCAAAACTCCTGAATCCCTCAAAATAATGGTTAAAAACCTGGGGCCCTCTAAATAATTTTTAAAAATCCTAAGGTTCTCAAAATAATCTTTAAACCTCCTGAGGTTCTCAAAGTAATTATTAAAAATCCATGAGACCCATAAAATAATTTTTAAAAAATCCTGAGGTACTCAAAATAATTTTCAAAAAATCCTGAGGTTCTCAAAATAATTGATAAAATTACTGAGGTCTTCAAAATAATTTTTAAAACTCCTAAATCCCTCAAAATAATGTTTAAAAGGCACTGAGGCCCTCAAAATAATTTTTAAAAAATCATGAGGCCCTCAAAAAAGAATCTTGAGGCCCTCTAAATAATTTTTAAAAATCCTAAGGTTCTAAAAACAATCTTTAAACCCCCTGAGGTTCTCAAAATAATTATTAAAATCCCCTGAGGACCTTAAAATAATTGTTAAATCCTGAGGTACTCAAAATAATTTTCAAAAAATCCTGAGGTCGTCAAAATAATTGATAAAATTACTGAGGTCTTCAAAATCATTTTTAAAACTCCTAAATCCCTCAAAATAATGTTTAAAAGACCCTGAGGTCCTCAACATAATTTTTAAAAAATCATGAGGCCCTCAAATAAGAATCCTTAGGCCCTCTAAATAATTTTTAAAAATCCTAAGGTTTTCAAAATAATCTTTAGACCTCCTGAGGTTCTCAATAAATAATTTTAAAATAATTGTTAAATCCTCAGGTACTCAAAATAATTAAAAAAAAATCCTGAGGTTCTCAAAATAATTGATAAAATTACTGAGGTCTTCAAAATAATTTTTAAAACTCCTGAATCCCTCAAAATAATGTTTAAAAGGCACTGAGGCCCTCAAAATAATTTAAAAAAAAATCATGAGGCCTCTAATAACGCTTAAAAGACCCTGAGGCACTCAAAATAATTTCGAAAGAAATAAGAGGTTCTCAAAATAATTTTTAAAAATCCTGAGGTCTTCAAAATGATTTTTTAAAAAAAATCCAGAGGTTCTCAAAATAATTTTTAAAAATCCTAAGGGCTCCAATATAGTGTTTAAAAGCGCATAGATCAGCAAAATATTTTCTAAAAATAATAAAGCCCCCAAAATAATTTATCCTTAAAATAATTTTTAAAAACCCTGAGGCCTCAAAAATTTTTTTAAAAAAATCCACGCCTATTTGGTAGTGCCTTAAAAATAGTTTTTTATTTTTAAATCCACGCCTACTTGCTAGTGCCTTAGGAATATTTTTAAAAAAATCCACGCCTACTTGGTTGTGCCTTAAGAATATTTAAAAAAATCCACGCCGCCTTAAGAATATTTTTTAAAAAATCCACGCCGCCTTAAGAATATTTTTTTAAAAAATCCACGCCTACTTGGTAGTGCCTTAAGAATATTTTTAAAAAAATCCACGCCTACTTGGTAGTGCCTTAAGAATATTTTTTAAAAAATCCACGCGTAGTTGGTAGTGCTTTAAGAATATTTTTTAAAAAAATCCACGCCTACTTGGTAGTGTCTTAAGAATATTTTTTTAAAAAATCCACGCCTACTGGTGGTGTCTTAATTTTTTTAACTTCGCCACACTGTGTCCACTTCAGTGTTGCTTTTTCCAGGAGGTGAGTGAGGCATGTTCGAGGTTAAAAATTACTTGAGCTTTTTCTGCACGCTCACACCTATGAGCTTGTTGTTGTTGGCATATAGAACAAGGAATAGAAGAGAAACTATTCCGTTTCGTGCATGCTAAGGTAAAGGCCATAAAGTATATGAATAATTGATATGAAAAATAAATGAAAAAAATATCAAAAAAAAAAACAAGAACTTAACTCGGAAGCATTTTTATAGTTTCGTGTTTGTGCAACAACAACAACAGCAGCAGCATGAGTTCAAGCAGCAGCAACAACAATAATAATAACAGCACAAGCAATAAAAATTGCAACAAACTAAACAACACACACATCATGCCATTGAGTTAGTCAGTTTGTTAGCCAGCTAGTCAGTCATACCTTCTTGGCCAACACCACTATAACGGCCAGCCCCCCTTCATGTAGTTGTTGCTTTTTGCAAAACAAAAATAAAAACAACAACAATAACAATCTCTTAACATCACCATCAACGCCAACACCGCCAACAGCAACACCAGCAAGCGAATAGTTTTGCGACTTCACTGAAATTTATTGGAGGGGGCTTGGCTTGGCTTGGTTTGACGACTGGGCTGGTGGTACTGTTGGCCGCAGCCGTTTCGTTCCGTGCCTTGGCATATCGTTTTTCTGTTGTCACGTTCATGGGTTGGTCGCTTGATTTTTGTGCTCCTGGTGCTAAATGGCAAAGATGGCGATGGATTTGAGCACACCAGTCGCAACTAATGTATGTATGAACACCATTGATGACCAAGATGGACTACCTACGTTCTAGTTGTTGTTGTTGGTGTTGTCGTTTATGTTAATGAACATTTATAGTCACTGGCTGGTGATACCAGTTCAGAATAATGCATCAAAAAACCAAAAAAAAAGGAATCGAATTTGTTCATTTTGCTCGGGTTCTGTGAGAAAATTAAGAGAATATGGCAAAGCAACATAATTATTTTTATAAAAAAAAATATTATTAAAAAAAATATTTTTTAATGTATTTTAAATTTAGCTGAGGCTTTAAAAATGTTTTTTTTTAAATGCACGCCTATAATGGATGTATAAAACAATTAAAAAATCCACGCCTTCAAAAATATTTGTATAGCCTTCACCACACTGTTGTACAGGGTATTATGTCTATGTGCATATGTTTGTAACAGGCACAAGGAAACAAGATCGACACATGGTTCCTTTTGAGAATATGCATAGAATCACATTCAAAGTCGATTTATGCATGTTAGTCCGTCTGTCTGCCCATGTTAAATTGTAAACAAAGTACAGGTCGCAGTTATGATCCCAATTGAATGAAATTTGGCATACGTCACTAATTTGGCCCAAGGACGAACCCCATTGAAATTGGGAAAAATCGGTTCACATTTAGATATAGCTTCCATATATATTTTCGCCCGATTTTAGGTAAATGGTGCACCAGAGTCCCTATATATCTTTCGATTTGTACGAAATTTGGCACAGCGTACTGAATTGAGTATAGAATGATGTGTGCCAAGTTTCGTGAAAATCGGTTCAGATTTAGATATAGCTCCCATATATAGTTTCGCCCGATTTTAGGTAAATGGTGCACCAAAGTCCCTGAAAATCATTCGATTTGCACGAATTTTGGCACAGCGTACTGAATTAAGCCTAGAATGATGTGTGCTAAGTTTCATCAAAATCGGTTCAGATTTAGATATAGCTCCCATATATATTTTCGTCCGATTTGAGGTAAATGATAGCTTCCATGCACGAAATATCTGAATTGAGTGTAGAATGAAGTGTGCCCGAAAATCGGATCAGATTTAGATATAGCTCCCATATATATTTGTCCGATTGGAGCACCAAAGTCCCTATATATCTATATAACTTTCGATGTGTGTTGCTCGAAATTTGGATATAGCATATATACGATTTGATGTATTTGGTGAAGTCTATATACAAAGATTTGCACGAAATGTGTTAAGTTTCGTGAAATCTCAGATTTATATATAGCTCCCATATATATTTTCGTCAGATTTTATGTAAACGTTAGATATAGTGTACTCCAGATTTAGATATAGCTCCCATATATATTTACGTCCGATTTACGGTAAATGGTGCACCAAAGTCCCTAAATATTTTTCGATTTGTACGAAATTTGGCGCAGCGTACTGAAATGAGTGCAGTATAATGTGTGCCAAGTTTCGTGAAAATCGGTTCAGATTTAGATATAGCTCCCATATATGTTTTCGTCCGATTTAATGTAAATGGTGCACAAATGTCCGAATACATCTTCGGATTTGCACGAAATTTGGCTCACCATAATGAATTAGGCCTAGATTGGTGTGTGTTAAGTTTATGGATATCGGTACAGTTATAGATATAGCTTTTATATCCGACCATATGAAAAATTTAGTATCGGTTGGAGAATGACATGTTTATGGATCAATTTCATTTTACTGGTCCTTTAAAAATGCGACGTCTGTTAGGATTCATCTGTTGAATATATCCAAAGTGGTGAAGGGTATCACATAGTCGGCCCCGTCCGACTTTACTGCTTTCCTTACTGGTTTTCTTTTTAATAGACAATTTTGTTTCGGGTTCTGTGAGAAAATTGACAGAATAAGTCAAAGAAAGGGGGCCATATAAATATGACGGATTTAGGGGAGCATACAAAAATATGTCCAAAAAAAACCCCACGCCTATAGAGGATGCTTTAAAAAATATTTTTAAAAATCCATAAAAAAGTTAAAAAATTCCACGCCTGTAGATGGTGCCTTCAAAATAAATAAAAAAATATGAAAAATATTTTTTATTTTTAATTACAAAATAATATTTTAAAAATTTCAAAAAGTCCAGTTCGTCTGTGAAGAACTTTAATTTTTTTTTAAATTTTCCTACATCGCATTATCCTCCAAAATGTTTATCCTTTTTGCAAATGATTCCTTTCTAGTGGGTGCCATAATTTGCCCTCATATCCCCGAGAATATTCAACAGTTTTATTTTCCGCTCTATTTGTACCATTTTCGAAAATTTATTTTTATTATCCTTTTGGCTAGGATATCCTTTAACTTTAAAATATGTGCATTTTATATTAATGACAATTCTGTCTCTTCTTCTGTTTGTTATTTTTTTGCAGGCAAAAATGATTGAAAGCGGACATCCTTGGATGGCTGGTGCAACAACGTCTTCGGTAACTGGTAAGTAGGCTAGTTTTCATGGTATTTTGTTCCGAAAGGACATCAAGGATTTGCATGCAAATGGATTATTGTAATCATTTGTCTTAACATTTAGCAGAGATATAGATTTTGTTTTCATTCTTTTTCCATCAAAATGGTAACAAAATGTTTTCCGTTTCCTTTTATTTCCATTCCGTGTTCTTCGTGTGCCTTCGCTTTTTTTTGTCCTGTGGCCTCAGCAGATAGCTATCAATATCAATTGCAATCCATGTGGCAAAAATGTTGGAATACTAATCAGCAAAACCTCGTCCAACAACTGAGATTTCGTGAGCGCGGACCATTAAAATCTTGGCGACCCGAAGCTATGGCCGAGGCAATATTCAGTGTCCTTAAGGAAGGTCTGTCGCTGTCACAGGCTGCCCGGAAATACGATATACCATATCCAACATTTGTCCTCTATGCTAATCGTGTGCATAATATGTTGGGCCCATCGTTGGATGGTGGCACCGATCCCCGACCAAAGGCACGAGGACGTCCCCAGCGTATACTGTTGGGTATGTGGCCCGAAGATTTAATACGTTCCGTTATCAAGGCGGTGGTATTTCGTGATTACCGGGAAATCAAAGAGGAAATGGGTGGCTTGCCGTTTGCCAATGGACAAGCTCATGCGGTAGGTAGACGAGAGATATTGTTCTCTAAGATTAAAGAAATAATGTTGAAGTGGAGAATGAGAGAGAGAGATAATGATTTTTTCTTTCAAATCTATTAAAAAATGTTAGCTTAAAAAATATTAAAATATACGACGGCTATTCAATTTTATTTTAAATACATGCCTATGGCTGTGGCCTGAAATTTGTTTTCAAAAAGATCAAAAAATGTTAATTTTTTTAAGTATCCCCTTTAGGCGTGGAGTTTTTTAAAATTAGGCGTAGATTTTTTAAAAATATGTTTAAAAAATCCAAAAATTTTTTAAAAATATGTTTAAAAATCCCTATAGGGGAGATTGAGGCCTTAAAAATTATTTTTTAAAAAATCCACGCATATAGAGAAGGTTGAGGCCTTAAAAAATATATTTTTTTTTAAATCCACGCCTATAGAGGAGGTTGAGGCCTTAAAGAAATATTTTCTAAAAAATCCACGCCTATAGGGGAGTTTGGGGCCTTAAAAAATATTTGAGGCATAAAAAATATTTTCTTTTAAATCCACGCCTATAGAAGATGTTGAGGCCTTAAAAAATATTTTTTTAAAAAATGCACGCCTATAGAAGAGGTTGAGGCCTTAAAAATATTTTTTTTAAATCCACGCCTATAGAAGATGTTGAGGCCTTAAAAAATATTTTTTTTAAAAAATGCACGCCTATAGAAGAGGTTGAGGCCTTAAAAAATATTTTTTTAAAAAATCCACGCCTATAGAAGATGTTGAGGCCTTAAAAAAATTTTTTTTTAAAAAATGCACGCCTATAGAAGAGGTTGAGGCCTTAAAAAATATTTTTTTTAAAAAATCCACGCCTCAATTAAGCCCTACCAAAAAATATTTTTTAAAAAAATCCAAGCCTTCGGCTGTGGCTTCTTAAAAAAATATTTTTTAAAAAATCCACGCCTTGAAAATAATATTTTTTTTTAAAAATCCAGGCCTATAGAGGAGGTTTAGGCCTTAAAAAATATTTTTTAAAAAATCCACGCCTCCTATAGAGGAGGTTGAGGCCTTAAAAAATATTTTTTAAAAAATCAACGCCTATAGGGGAGGTTGAGGCCTTAAAAAATATTTTTTTAAAAAATCTACGCCTATAGGGGAGGTTGAGGCCTTAAAAAAATATTTTTAAAAAATCCACGCCTATAGGGGAGGTTGAGGCCTTAAAAAATATTTTTTAAAAAATCCGCGCCTATAGGGGAGGTTGAGGTCTTAAAAAATATTAAAAAAATTCACGCCTAAAAAAAGAAATCTACGCCTATAGGGGAGTTTGAGGCCTTATAAAATATTTGAGGCTTTAAAAAAATATTTTTAAAACATCCACGCCTATGGAGGAGGTTGAGGCTTTAAAAAGATATTTTTAAGAAATCCACGCCTATAGAGGAGGTTGAGAACTTGAAAAAATATTTTTAAGAAATCCACGCCTATAGAGGAGGTTGAGGCCTTAAAAAATATTTTTTTTAAAAAAATCCACGCATATAGAGGAGGTTGAGGCCTTAAAAAATATTTTAAAAAAATTCACGCCTATAGGGGAGGTTGAGGCCTTAAATAATATTTTTTAAAAAATCCACGCCAATTGAGAAGTTTTAAAAAATATTTTTTTAAAACTTTAAAAAATATATTTTTTTAAATACACGCCTATTGAAAAGCGTTAAATAATCCAAGCCCAGCCATAGGCTTGGTTAAAAAAAAATATTTTTATTTTAAATATAAATGGTCTGTAATAAAATATTTCTCTCTCTCTCCACCTGCTCCCCTTACATCTTCTTAAATAAAAATATTAATTTTATGACCTTCCATCCTTCCTTGTCTCTCCCTTTTTGCTACAAACCAATTTCTCACCTTCTAGGCCGCCTTGTTTGGTGCCTCCCCCGTCAGTGGTGCTGCCTCGGCCGCCAATGGTTATCACAATGCCGCCAAGCTGGCAGCCCAGTCGGCCATGGGTGGCCATCAGGACTCTCCCAGCCCCTTGTCATCGATGACTGAAAATTTACGACGCCAAATATTGTCACAACAACAACAATCACCCCTAAATCCAGCAATGAATATCTATAAAGCTCCAGCCTATGTACAACGTTCGGAAATTGAAGATCCCATGGCTATGACGGGTAAACAACACACCTCTTCTTCCTCCTCCGCGGGAGGTGGTGGTGGCGGCGCTGTCAACGAACGTCGTGGTTCCGAGAATTTACCCGATTTAAGTGCTTTGGGTTTGATGGGTTTGCCGGGTCTAAATGTTATACCCACAACGGCAGGACCGGGTGGCTCAAATCCGCGCAATAATCACATGCATTCCAATGTGGCGGCAGCGGCTGCGTTTGGTCGTGATTTGGAAAGGGAGCGCAATCGTGAGAGGGAACTGCGTGAGAGGGAGCGTGAACGAGAGAGGGAACGTGAACGTGAGCGAGAGCGCGAACGAGAGTTAAAAGAGGCCATGCAGGCTCGCCAGTATTGCAATCAATCACGTGGCTCAGCCTCGGGTGGTTCCTCGGCGGGTGATATGCAAAAAACCAGTGGTGCCGGCACCACCTCACCCTATCCCCATCACATGAAAAACAAGGACCAGCTGGCTGCCAACTACGCGTACAACAAACGTTTCCTGGAAAATTTACCACCCGGCATAGACTTCGAGGCCATTGCCAATGGTCTGCTGCAAAAATCCTCTGCAGCAGCGGCGGCTGCTGCTGCCTCAGCTGCCGTGGCCACAGCCAATAAAAGTCCACGCTTTGAAGATTTCTTCCCCGGACCCGATATGAGTGAGCTGATAGCCAATGCTGAGGCTGCGGCGGCCAGTGCCCCCTTTCCCGCCCAACGTGAGTACAATTTAATGAAAATCAAATTGGAACAGCAGCCCACCGAGGTGCAGCATGAGGATTGAGAGAGTGATATGGCCAAAATTGGGGCGTGGCAGTGATCTCTTTAAGAGATGGTGAAATAAAAAAAAAATAACTTTTATAAATGTTGTTTATATTATTATTAATAATACATTTTTATTTAATATTTAAAATTTAGTTTATAACAAAAAAAAAAAAAAGAGACACCAATACACACAACTGCATACTTGCATATATAAACACACATATAACAACCCCAACGTTATTAGATTAAGCTCGGCTAATTTAGATATAGAGAAAAAAAATAATTTAAAAGAAAATTATATTTAATCTTTTATTAAAAAACAACTATTATTATATATTTGCAAACGAAAATGTTTATAACAAACTTAATGATTATAGTGAGCCTTTCAAATTTGGGTTAAATTTAAAAAAATAATTTTTTACAATTTTTTTATACAAAAATTTATTGTTTTATAATTTTTTTGTTTTAAAGTTTGTTGTAAATATTTTCGTGTTTAAATTAAAAATTCCCTCACCCCCTCTTGCCTCCTCCCTTTCTTCATTTATTTTCCATGTAAATATTTAAACAAATAAATTATAGTTTGAAGTATTTTAATTTTTTAATTTAATTAATTTTAATAGTTAATTCCAAAAATACAGGGTGTCCCGAAAAAAAAAATATTTTTAAAAATAAAATAACATAAAAAAATTAAAAACTAAAAATGTTTAAAAATTAAAAAAATATATATTTAAATATTTCTATTTTTTTCATTTAATATTTAAAAATATTTCTAAATATTTAAATTTTCCTATAACACCCTGTACATCACTTGTTTTTTTACCCATTTTAGTTTTTCCCCCTATCCATTGCCTAGATTTTTTATTTGTAATTTCTTTCTAAATAATAATTATTTTTAATTAAGTTCATTTAATAATAAAAAAAATGAATCATTTTTATTTGCTTTGATTTGAAATGACTTGAGTTTTGTTTTGAAAAAAAAAAATGAAAAAAAAAAAAAAAAAAATGGAAATCTATGAGTTGATGATGACGCAGACAAAGCTGACGTTTGCCGATCATGAGATGGACACAATTTTTCCATGAGGTAATCTTTAATATTCAAACAAATTCAATGAAAATTGGCAATTTACATTTAATTAGGCCTAAAGAGCAACTGACAAAAAACTGGGTAGATCGGACCAAGATTTGATATACCTCCCATACAAAGGGTCTTGAACATTTTACTATTTTGGTCTATAAAATCTTTAATATTCCACCAAATTCAATGAAAATTTGCAATTTTTATTTACTTAGGCCTTTAAACAACGGACCAAAAACTGGGTAGATCGGACCAAGATTTGATGTACCTCCCATACAAAGGGTCTTGAAAAATCCGCTTTTTGGACCTATAAATTGTTTATATTCATCCAAATTCCACGAAAATTTTCATGTCTTCGTCCAAATTACATCAAATTTGGGCGAAGGCAGTAATAGGTGTTGTAATTTAGTTGTTGGCCCATATTTCAGGTACCTACCATACCAAAAGTCCCTAAAAATTTAACTTTCTGTACTATAAAATCGTTATATGCAGCTAAATTAAGTATATTAGTTTTATTTTTGTTATTTTTATTATAATATAACAATTATTTGATATCCTTTAATAACTAATAAATTACCTTTTTATCATTCACAACATTTTCAAAACACACATATATATATATATATATATATATATATATATTGTCTTCCCAAATGTACGATTTAGTATCATCCACATTATAATCTAGGGCCTTTACTTTATGGCTGTTTAAGGATATTACAAGGTCGGATTGTAATATAAAATACTAAATAAAATCCTTATTTAACTCGGCTTTAACAAAAGTTCGGGCTGCTACTAATTATTTGTTGGCATGACTTGTTAGCATCTTGTGAAAGTCGCTCAAAAGGTATTGTACTGCACTTTGCATATCCCATGCCATGAACTAATATTTTTCTGTATGAACTTTCCACAAAGGTAATTCATGTGCGACCTCTAAATTTAGATTATAAGATTATGTCTCAAATGATCTGATAAATAAGTATAATCTTCAAACTGACTGAAAATTTATTTAAAAGCTATATTTTAAAACCAATTCTCCCATATCTCCGCTTCGAATAACGTTTTTCACCACTTAATTGCATATTTTATGTAAAATATTGTATTATTACTATGTTCTGAATCCATCTTATCCTTCCTATTTGACCCTCAATAACTTATTTAATTGTATACATAACATATTTGACCATTCGCTTCTAACCATTTCATGAATATGCCATATTTTTCATAAGGTGGTCACCAAAAACGTTAAATAACTCTTAGGACCGCAGGACTCCGCAGCTAATTTTTTTTATTCCTTAAATAACACACTTTTCACCACTCAAATAAAAAAAATTAGAGCTAACCTTTTTTAAACTTTTTTTTCTGCTCCACTAATTTCAAAATTTGTTTTACAAATTTGATGAACTAAGTACTACAAGTGTGGACGACTGTATACACCATATGATATCTATATATATATACAAACTAAAGCGAATCCTAGTTTTTACATCCACAGCAACCAAAATAAACACTTTTATAATAACCGTTAATTTGAATATTCAAATATTTGAGCATCAGAAAAACACACCCATTTTTCGAAAATATGGTAAAAAATCAGTTTATAAATAATTATCAGATTTGAACCTTTGTAGAGACAAAACTACTCGACATATCGATATAAAATTTCATATTTATATTTATTCTAATCATGGAGTTTTGACCATTTTTGGCCGCGGTCGTGACACTGTGCGGCGGTGTCAACGAACGTTGTGGTTCCGAGAATTTACCCGATTTAAGTGCTTTGGGTTTGATGGGCTTGCCGGGCCCTAAATGTTATACATACCCATCATCGGAAAGACCTCATAAAGTATCGAAACGAATAAAATTCTATATCGATTTATGATAGAGCTTTAAAAATTTGCATACAAAAAATTTTTATATATTTAATTTCCTACAAAAATTTTTTATTTGTTTAGACCCCATATAGGGTTACCTCCCAAATGTCGTTTTTTTTGGCGATTTTTGGCACGTTTTTCAACCGAATTGCATGTAATTTGGTACTTTGTGTTATAATTGCGTAGCAAATCTTCATACCAAAAATTTTTAAAATTGGTAAATTTTTTAAAGTAGGTCCCATATAGGGTTACCTCCCATATATCGGTTTCTTTGGGAGTTTGGGGACGATTTTCAACCGAATTGGCTGTAATTTGGCATTTGGTGTTCTCTTTTGGTAGAATAACTCAAACAAAATCTGCATTCCAAAAATTATCAATATTGGTCCACTTTTTATAGGTTAGACCTCATATAGGGTTACCTCCGAAATGTCGGTTTCTTGCGATTTTTGGCACATTTTTCAATCAAATTGGCTTTAATTTAATATTTGAAGATCTCCAAGAAAAATTAAATTTCCTACCAAAAATTATCAATTTTCGCCCAAGTTTCAGGTTATGGCCCCATAGAACGGTTCCCGCAAATTTGGGTATTTCAAGGATTTTTGACGCGTTTTTCAACCGAATTAGCTGTAATTTAGTGTTTTGGGTAGACTAATTACAGCTAATTCGGTAGTAGTGGGTAGATATTCTTCATACTACAAATGATCAATATTAGTCAACTTTTTTAGGTTAGACCACATATAGGGTTACCTCTAAAATATCGGATTTTGGGGATTTGAAGCATTTTTCGATCGAATTGGCATTAATTTGGTTCTCTTTTTGTAGAAAATTTGCACACCAAAAATCTATATCAATATTAGTATACTTTTTTTGGTTAGACCTCATATAGGGTTACCTCCCAAATGTCGGTTTTCTGCGGATTTTTGTCACATTTTCCAATCAAATAGTCTGTAACTTTTTATTTTGATTTCTCCAAGAAAAATTAAATTTCTTACCAAAAATTATCAGTTTTGGTCCAAATTTCAGATTAGCCCCCATAGAGCGGTTCCCGAAATTTTGGGAAATTCTAAGGTTGTTTGCACGTTTTTTTTTTAACCGAATTTGCTGCAATTTAGTATTTTGGATTTTTATTGGGTAGAAAATCGTAATACCAAAAATTATTCAAATTGGTCCAATTTTCAGAATTTTTGGGTATTTTTGGGACGATTTTTAGGTTAGGCCTCATATAGGGTTACCTCAAAAATGTCGGGATTTGGGGAGTTTATACACGATTTTCAACCGAATTGGATGTACTTTGGTATTTTGGAGTCTCATATGGTAGAAAATCTGCATACTAAAAATTAGTAATATTGGAACACTTTATTAGTTTAGACCTCCTCATATAGGGTTACCTCCCAAACGTCAGAATAGGCCCAGGGTTACCACCCAAATGTCGAGTTTTGGGGTATTTTTGGGACGATTTTCAAACTATTCGGCTGAAATTTTGTACTTTGAGTTATTATTGGGTAGCAAGTGCTCATACAAAAAAATATTCAAATTTTTAAAGTAGGTCCCATAAAGGGTTGCCCCAAAAATGTCGGTTCTTTGGCGATTTTGGCATACTTTTCAACCAAAATAACTGTAATTTTGTATTTTGGATTCTCATTTGGTATAAAATCTCCGTACCAAAAATTATCCAAATTGTTCGAATTTTCAGAATATGTCCCATATAGGGTTACCACCCAAATATCTGGTTTTGGGGATTTTCTTGCACGTTTTTCAATCAAATTGGCTGCAATTTTGTATGTTGTGTTCTCCTTGGCTACCTTATCCTACCAAAAATTATCAATGTTTACCTACTATTTATGATAGACTCCAAATAGGGTTGCCTCCCTAATGTCGGGGTTTTGGGGAATTTAGGCACTTTTTTCAACCGAATTGACTGTAATTTGGTATTTTGGGTTCGCATGAGGTAGAAAATTATAATAATAATTTTTAAAATAAAAATTATTAGTATATTATTTAATCTACTTTTTATGCTAGATCTCATATAGGGTTACCTTCAAAATATTGGGTTCTTGGGGAGTTTGGGCACGTT